AGTCACATCGTTTCAATATCTAGGAAATGTTCTGGATTGTACTGGAACAGCTGAAGCTGCCGTTCGGGCACGCATACGTGCAGCCTGGACATTTCACTACCACTACGATCAAAACTGTTAAAATCTGATTTACTTCCGGTGTTGTTATATGGTGCAGAAACATTGCCAATGACAACAAAACTGGAACAACAACTTCAACGAACTGACATGAAAATGCTCCGATGGATGCAACAAATTAGTCTGAAGGACCCCATCAAATCTACCAAGATCCTGCGTCGTTCTGGTTTAGATGAAAGGACGAATGCCGGCAACACCGTCTGCGGTGGTTTGGTCATGTCAAACGAAGTGGAAAGAGTGCCATAACTTTTCTCGCAGATGTTGAAATACCTGGCACACGTCCCAAAGGCTGTCCAAAGAAGTCTTGTACGTAAACAATCTGGCAAGACATGAAAGCTCTAAATTTAAATGAATTTGATACAACTGATCGTCTAATTTGGCGCAAAAAATTGATGACAAAGTAAACAACGTCCTACCTCGGGAAACTGGGCCTCTTGATACTAAACGAAGATTGATTGATTGATTGATTGATTGATTGATTTATAAAATCATGATTGATATGTGCAAGAAATTGTGTTGTTTGTCATGTTATTGGTTTTATTTATTTAATTCTTAATAATATATTTCACATAGTTTGGCTGGTTATTAGTTTCTTTTTATTTTTCCTATTTCATTACTGTCTTAGCAAGTTCCTTAGAACTTCACTGTCTACCAGCCTTTGCTGAATACAATATTTTTTAATTTTGAAAGCCACAATGTGTTATGGTTTATTTTTCAATTTTTTGAAAAATTAGTTTCGCCAAACACTTCCAATGAATATTGGCGATGTCACCTAAGTTTGTGAAAGTGAAACTCGAGAAAACGAATAATTTAAATCTTTTGTAGTTTTTATTTATACTGGAAACTAAATAATAAAGTTAACGTTAAATAAATATTTTCCTTAAATTTGTTATTTGCTGGAAATTTGAACAATGCTAGTAAACAACGAGAAGCCGTATATTCGACTGTTTTTGATTTTGTTATGGTCTTAGAAAAATTAGGAGCAACAAACTGAAACATTTGAAAACAACTGAAAATATAGCATAATTTTTTTAACCTCGACGTTTACGTTGGAATATATTTTGGACGATGATTGTCTTCAATAACAATGTTGCGAGTTTCTTTAGATATAAGAAACAACAAGTAAGAATGTTTATAACGTATTTATTTGCGTAATACAAAATAAATGAAAACGTGTTCGGCAATGCAATTAGACAAAGAAAAGTTCGATCGTAAAATGTCGCAAGAAGAAGGGCTGTTGTCTTTGTGTTGAAGCTATATAAGTCGTCACATGCTTAGATTTAATGATGTGCGGTTCAACAATATTCCCCTACCAGATATGCTAATCAAAATATCGAGATGGGAGGTGAACTGTTCTTCCCGATCTTGTGGTTCTCCGGGGTGATGGAATGTTGGTGTCGATGGACCGATTTGGGTGTGCTTGTGTCGACGTAGATGTTTCTGTTGTTGGCATGTCCTCGTCCGTTGATGGAGATAGCGTTGACGTTTTTGTTGATGCTGATGTGTCGTTCGACGACGGAATTAATTTTGTTGAAGGTGTTGTAGAAGGTGGTGTCGGCGCTGTGGTCGTTGGCATGGGTGACGGTATTGATGGTGCCGGTGAGTATGCGGGTTTGAGGCGGTCTATTGCCACCGTGTCCCTATGCCCCTTTTTGTCAATGACGAAATATTTTGGGTGTCGTTCTACCACTGTGTAGGGTCCCTCGTATGGAGGTTGTAGTGGTGAGCGGTGAGCATCCGTACGAATAAAGACCTGTTCTGAAGTGAAGAGGTCTTTTGGAATGTAACTCACGTTTGTACTTGTTCTTGGTTGTGTTTCTTTTAGGGTCTCCGCCCAGCATTTGAGTTTTAATGCATAGGTGTGTACATCGGTTGTCTCTGGCCGTTTGTTTGGAAAATTTCCGGGAAGGCGGAGTGTTGTGCCGTAAACAAGTTCTTTAGGTCTTCCTTCTCCGTTACACGAATGCCTAATAGTGTCACTGGTAATACATCCGTCCATTTGTCTGAACCGTGAGCCATGAGTGAAGCCTTAAGCTGTCTATGCAATCGTTCCACCATACCGTTGGCTGCTGGGTGGTAGGCGGTGGTGTGAATATGTTTAATGTTTAGTAACTGGGTGAATCTCTTGAAAGGAAAAGATGTGAACTAGCTGCCTCTGTCTGTTGTAATGGTTTCTGGGACTCCATACAACGAAATCCAGTTTGAAAATAATTTATCTACTATTGTTTCCGTTAAAGTATTTTTGATGGGAATTGCTACTGGCCATCTGGTGAAACGATCGACACACGTTAAAATGTGTGTGTGTCCATCTGATAAAGACATTTGTCCGACTAAATCGATGTGTACATGCTGAAACCTGCTGCTTGGTGGAGGGAATTCTGCTGGACGTGAAGCTGTATGTCGATGTACTTTGCTGCGTTGACATTGCAGACACTCTCTGCACCAGTTACGGATGTATTTATCAATGTGGGGCCAAACATACCTGGCTCTAATTAATTTAGAGGTTGCCGCCACCATTAGCAACTGGCCTTGTAGTTTGACGACTTGGCGACTTTTGCTTTGTAGTTGCATGGTCTCGCACACTTTTTTGCTCTGTCCCCATACGGCAAACATCTGTCTCCTCACCATCTGCTGCTCTAGATTGGAATTTTGTCTTCGTTAGTTGTTGTTGATGTTTGCGCCTGAATGCAAATACCTCATCTCTCTTAGTTGTTGTCTCTTCGGTACCAGATTTTGTTACGGCGTTGTGTGTTATGGTGGTAGAACCATTTCGATTGGATATTTGATGCATTCGGTCAGCTATGGTCGCTAACCTTTGAAGCGTCTCGTCGGTTGAGACTGCTAAATGCATTTGTATTGCGGATGGTAGCTGGTTCAACCACAATTGTTTCAAAATGCTTTCGTCTCTATTGTTTGCCACCCACAGGCTTTGCATGTGCCTCAATAGTTGTGATGGCGTTCTGTCTTCCATGGCCACGCCTCGGAGCAGCGTGTGCAAATTTTCTTCGTCTGAGACCGAATATCTCTGCGTTAACACGCGCTTCAGTGAGGTGCCGACGCCAATTCCGTCTCCACATCTATGACGACATCCATTGGTAGACTTTCAACCAACGTGGGATACCATTCATCTTCTGAGAATCCCCGGCCCCGGCATCAAATATCCAATCGAAATGGTTCTACCACCATAACACACAACGCCGTAACAAAATCTGGTACCGAAGAGACAACAAGGGCCGGGGATTTTCGAAATATGTAAACCATGCTTTGGGGTTCGCCGTGCTGAATGTATTTAGTTGGAGTGGGGCTCTCGTCGTTGTTCTCTTTGTCGTTAACTGATATGAGAAAATTAAAATTTCAAGAATATATTTTTAGAAATGTATTCGAATTATGTTTGTCACAATTATAATTTAAAAATAAAGCTTTTTGACTAATCAATTAATTTTACAAATAATAAATTTTTCAGAATTTGATGTCACAAATAGCTCAGGTCTTGGGTCAGTTTTAACAGATTACGCATATTCTCCAACTGTTTATTTAACAACTGGCTACGAAGTTCCTTTCAGAGGAGAGGGATTTTATTTTTTGAAAGAAAAAAAAGATGCTGAAATTAATATAAACAATGTCATAGTTAGCTAACAAGATTTTATTCATTTATTGTCATTTTTATAATATTGCTATTGCTCGCCACAAACAGGTAATTTTAGCCGTTTGTATTTCAAATTTTATAGTTGTCAAGATTTATTTAACTAGATTTTAACTTACGAAAGATTTAAATTATCTTGCACAATCGTCCTTAGCGAACATCTATGGCGGTGTTGATTAGAAATTGTTTTTTAAAATTTTGCAATTTAGACAGTTTTGGAGAAGTTTATTTTTTATAAATTAACTTTTTTTTTAATTTAAATATTCGTATATTTTTTTATATTTATTTTTTTTAATAATTTATAAGTAGTGTAGTGTATCGTTTTAACGGTTTTATATTTCAAAATATTCGCATTTAATCTTGAGTTCTGTATGTTTAATGATCTTTTAATATTGACTTCTTCTTTTCGTGCCTTATCCTTTCAGGACATTAACGGCCATTGACCTCCACAAAACCCAATCTTTAACGCTTTGTAGTAGTTGAAATATGGTAATATTCAACAAGTGGCCCAAGAACTTCACAAATGTTGTTCGTTGTTGACCGTGATCTCCTTTCCTTGCCATCTTTCCAGTAGTTGTTAGATTTTCCATTCTTTCCTTCCGCATGATGTGTGGAAGGAAAGAATATCTAATAATATTGACTTATTATTGCAATTAATTTATTTTATCTTATTTTATTCGGTTTAATATTAGAATCTTTAATTCTTAAATATCAGGTATTATGAAGTTATTAAAAAACATCATTATTTTATGTAATTTCAATTTCACAGTTCAAATTGTATGTATATTGCATAAAATTAGTTTTTAATTATTTGTTTTTTAATCTTTCATTAATATTCATTTATGTTCAATTCTGTTCATTTTGAAATTTTATTATATTGGTTTATTTTCTAAAATAATTACTATTTTTAATTTTTATGTATTATTATTTCTAGTCCTGATTATGACATTAAACTGACCCTCACTGCCTTGTGAGTGATGTTGGATCATCAAAGGCTAGGCCCACCGCTTATAACTGTGGTTGCGTAAGGAAGGGCGTCCTGCGTAAAAATTAGTAAAAAAAAATACTTATGATGGCTCTCACTATCCGGCAGAAGAGGGTGCAAAGAATCCTCGGAGACCCAGTCCATGGGGTTTCGGTGCAAGGCCCTGTGGATGGTCTGGTTACTGGCACCCCACTCTATAGTGTTGCGGTGCAAGGCACTATGGATGGAAGGATTACTTGTAGACCAAGGGGTTGGAGGTTTGGTACCTGGAATGTAGGCACGTTGACAGGAAGGAGTTTGGAAGTGGTGAAGAAGTTGCAGAGGAGAGTGGTTGACGTGGCTGCATTACAGGAGATCAGATGGAAGGGAGAGGGTACAAGGTTTGTGGGGGATAAAGGTGGAAGATATAAGTTGTGGTGGAAGGAGGATGATGGTACGGGTGGAGTTGGTGTGATGGTAAGAGAAGAGTTGGTGTAGAAGGTGTTGGAAGTGAGGCGGAAAAGCAATGGTGTAATTGTGGTGGTGATGGTGTTTGGAAAGGTAATAGTGAGGGAAATATCCGGATATGCTTCGCAACAAATTAGGAAGGAAGAGGAGAAGGATAGGTTTTATGATGATGTTTTTGACGAGATTGGGCAAGCGGGGTTGGATGAGTTTGTGGTGTTGTTGGGTGATTTGAATGGTTATGTGGAGGCGGATGCAGACGGATATGAAGGTGTACATGGGGATATGGTATACGGAATGAGGAAGGGCGTAGAGTGTTGGAGTTGGCGGATGCACATAGCATGGTGGTGGGGAATACCTGGTTTATAAGAGAACCAGCACGATTAATTACATATAGGTCAGAGGAGCATAGGTCAATGATAGATTATATATTGATAAGGGCGAATCATAGAAAGTATGTAAGGAATGTGAAGCGATACCTGGTATGTTGCAGCATAGTATGGTTGTGATGGATGTGGTATCAAAAGAAATAGGGAGGAGGAAAAAGGATAAGTTTGTGGCATGGAAGTTACAGGATGTAGAGGTGAGGAAGGCATTTGAATTGAAGGTGGCTGAAAGTTGGGAGAGTAGTAAGGATGGAGATGTTTGGGAGAAATATAGGGACTGCGTGTTGACTACGGCAGATAAAGTATGTGGATGGACGTGAGGAAAGTGTAGGCATGGTGAGACGTGGTGGTGGGATGAAAATATAAGAAAGGTTTTAGAGGTCAAGAAGGAGAGGTTTAGGGTGTGGAGAAGGGACATGACGAAGAAAGCGGATATTGAGTACAGGAAGGCTAAGAAAGTTGCAAAACGGGCAGTGGCAACTGCAATGACGAAAGCATCAGATAGGTCAACGAGGGAAATGGAATTTGATGTGAGTTCGAGGAAAATGTTCTAAGTAGCAAAGCAGTCAATGAGGGATAGGAAAGATGTTATAGGGAATGGATATGTTTGGGATGGATCTGGCAAGTTGTGCATAGATGAAAAAAAAGCTCAGGTGTGGAAAGCCCATATGGAAAGGTTGATGAATGAAGAAAATGAGACGGAGATGTGGAATCCGCAGTCACACACGGACCCATAGAAAAGGTGACGATGGAGGAAGTAGAGAGGGCAGTTAGAGAAATGAAACTAGGTAAGACGACAGGGGTTTTGTTTTTAGTGTTAAGGTAGGGGTGCATCAAGGATCAGTGTTATCACCGTTTTTGTTTGTTTGTTGTGTGGGGAAACATAATGGAGAAGTTGTTATTTGAGATTTTGTATGCAGATGATTTAGTTTTGATGGCTGATAGCATGGAAAAATTGCAGTTAAAATTTGACAGATGGAAAAGTGTTATCGAAAAGAAAGGGTTAAAGGTTAATATTACTAAGACGAAGGTAATGGTAAGTGGGAAAGGTGGGGAGCGAGTGATAAGTAAAATAGACCCCTGTGGGGTATGTGATAGGAGAGTGTGGGATGGATGAATTTTAGGGAACTTGTTGGGGTATTGTGTAAAAAGAAATGGTCAGTGAAGATGAAAGGGAGGGTATATAAACTTGGGTGTTGAGGAGAGAGGAGAAAAGTGTACTGCATAGGGCTGAAAGAGCTATGGTGAGGATGATGTGTGGGGTTAAAGTGAAGGATAAGAGGAGTAGTACAGAGCTGATGTCGATGATAGGACTGAATGAGGACATTGTGACATTGGTAAGGAGATTGAGATTGCGGTGGCATGGACATGTGTTGAGAGGGGATGAAAGGGTCGGGATTAGGCGAGCGTTGGAGTTCGAGGTTGAAGGAGTGATAGGAAGGGTTCGTCCGCGATTGGGATGGAGAGAGGAGGTGGAGAAGGACATAGTGAAAGCAGGGTTGCGTGATACTGAGGCGAGTGACAGATGTAAATGACGTCGAAGGGTATTTCGGTTTCATCATAGGTAGCCAAACGGCAACCCTTGATCTCGGGGAAAATGTCGTCTAAACGTGTGTTGTTGTTTATTATTTTTGGATTATCTTTAATTTTAATTTTTAAACATTAATTCCAAGTACATTGTCCATATTACTTTAACTTACTTAATTATTTTAGATAATTTTATTTGTTATGAGTTATCTCATAAAGAAGGAAAAATAATTGAAAGCAAGTAATAGCAACCTACTGTCTACAACTTTTGCCAAAAAAACCATCGACAAACACAAACCAAATCAAAAAAACATTATGATAATGACAGGTTGAATAAACGTTTTACTGTGGCAACATGGAACGTTAGAATAATTGTCAAAAAAGGTCAAAAATAATTGGCACTTTATCTAAAGTGTCCAATTTTGTTTGTCCTGCTTGCATCAATGCACAACAACAAATTAAAAAAAGCAATGTTTTTGAAGCCATTAAGGTAGAGAAAGTCACATCGTTTCAATATCTAGGAGATGTTCTGGATTGTACTGGAATAGCTGAAGCTGCCGTTCGAGCACACATACGTGCAGCCTGGAATAAATGGCATCTCCTTGCCTCTATATTGATGCGGCGTAACATCCCACTACGTACTACCACTACGATCAAGACTTTATAAATCTGTAATACGTCCGGTGTTATATGGTGCAGAAACATGGCCAATGACAACCAAACTGGAACAACAACTTCACCGAACCGATATGAAAATGCTCCGATGGATGAAACAAATTAGTCTGAAGGACCACATCAAATCTACCGAGATCCTGCTTCGTGCTGGTTTAGATGATATAAAGGACGAATGCCGGCAACACCGTTTGCGGTGGTTTGGTCATGTCAAACGAAGTAGAAACAGTGCCAAAATTTCTCTTGCAGATGTTGAAGTACCTGGCACACGACCCAAAGGCCTTCCAAAGAAACCCTGGTTGCAAACAATCTGGCAAGACATAAAAGCTCTAAATTTAAATGAAATGGATACAAATGAACGTCTAATTTGGAGCAAAAAATTTATGGCAATGAATCAACGTCCTACCTCGGGGGAATGGGTTTCTGGACGCTAAACGAAGATTGATTGATTTAACATGGAACGTTAGAACGTTGTATCAGACTGTGATATTTGAAAACGTAAAACAGGAAATAAAAAGAGTAAGCGAACCTTGGTGGGAGAAATCAGGTGTCACTACTTTTGAAAAAGGCAAATTTATCTACTCTGGAGGCGATTCACACAAACGAGGAGTAGGTGTACTTTTGAACAAAAAAATGTTTAAACATTTGTAAGGTTTCTGGGCGATGCCAGAGTTTTGTTGGTCATATTACACGCAAAACCTGTCAACCAAGTTTATGCGCCAACGATTGAAAGCAGTGGAGAAGACTTGATACTTTTTACAGTGATGTAGATGATGCTTTAAAAACATGCTTTGTAAATCTCATGAAGTTGTTATTGTGATATGTGGCCTGAATGCAAAATTTGGCTCAGAAAAAATACATGGGATAGGGGAAAGAAATGAAGAGGAGTAGAGTGAAAAGTTAATTGAATGATGTGGCGTAAATGATTAAATCATTACCAACTTTTAGTTTGACAAACACCCAAGGCAAAAATATTCTTTGAAGAGACTCGGAGACAAAATATAAGAAATATGATTGATTATTACATTACTATGAATAGACAATGTCGAAATGCTGTTTTACAATGCAGAAGTTACTCTGAAGCTGATTGTTAGTTGTTTGTAAAATCAAGATAAAGTTGAAGAAAATGAAGAGTGAAGTTGCCCCAAAACGTTTGGATTTTGTCAGTCCGTCACAAAATGATGAGATCAAGGTCAAGTATAACGTTGAAGTACGAAATCGTTTTCAGTTATTGACGGAAGACGTAAAAAATCTAAATGTGAAAAATTTTAAGATGCAGTCACAAAATCAGCAAGGGAAGTTATATCGTTGAAGGAGCAAAGAATTGGTCAAAATGGATAACCGATGACATCGTATCTCTGATAATCAATCAATCTTCGTTTTGCGTCTAGAAACCCGGTTCCCAAAGGTAGGACGTTGTTTTCTTTGCCATCAACTTTTTGCGCCAAATTAGACGATCAGTTGTTGATACAACAATTCATTTAAATTTAGAGCTTTCATGTCTTGCTCGATTGTTTGTGACCAGGACTTCTTTGGACAGCCTTTGGGACGTGTGCCAGGTACATCAACATCTGCAAAAAAAGTTATGGCACTGCTTACACTTCGTTTGACATGACCAAACCACCGCAGACGGTGTTGCCGGCATTCGTCCTTTATATCATCTAAACCAGCACGACGCAGGATCTCGGTAGATTTGATGTGGTCTTTCAGACTAATTCGTTGCATCTATGGGAGCATTTTCATATTGGTTCGGGAAATTGTTGTTCCCGTTTGGTTGTCATTGGCCATGTTTCTGCGCTATATAAGAACACCAGACGTACCACAGATTTATAAAGTCTTGATCGTAGTCACGCCGCATCAATATAGAGGCAAGAAGATGCCATTTATTCCAGGCTGCACGTATGCGTGCCCGAACGGCAGCTTCAGCTGTTCCAGTACAATCCAGAACATTTCCTAGATATTGAAACGATGTGACTTTCTCTACCCTAATGGCTTCTAAAACAGTGCTATTTTGAATTTGTTGTTGTGCATTGATGCAAGCAGGACAAACAAAATTGGACACTTTAGATAAAGTACCAATTATTTTTGAACAACGTTTGTGACACCACTGGTTACACTGCTGACACTTGATTGAATTGTTACCTACACCAGCTTTACAAACTGAACATGGCCATCGTCCAGTAACTGTTAATTGGATGGGTTTACCAGTGTTCATTGCTTTGGTTTTGCTGATGTTGACTTTGAATCCATGATCGGCGAGTCTGGTGTTCCAATCTTCAAACATCTGTGCTGCATTCTGCTCAGACGTGGCTGTTAAAACGATATCATCAGCATATATTAGATTCCAAATGTCACCAGTGCGTATCGGTTTTGTGATTTGTTCCATCACAGTTATAAATAACAGTGGACTGAGAATCGAGC